TGCTTCCTTGTTTAGTATATTTCTTATTAAAGTTTATTTATCAGTGTACATGAGTATCTGGTAAATTTGATTTCTAAAACTAAAAATAACAATATCAAACCTTTTGCATTTTGGCATTTTACAAGATTTGCATAAGAAATTTCGTGAAAATTTTACTGTACAATAAATCAATATATGTAAAGATATCTGGTTTTGAACACAACCATATTGTAAAATATCAGCAGTGAGTGCAGTCAATGATCTGTAAGGCAAAACAAAAACTTATTTTGTATTGATTTGTATAATGGTATAATGGTGTGATGGTGTTGTTGAATATCTGTAGACACTGTGTAAATATTCAGTTATTATGAACCAAAACATGAGAATTTTTTTACTATAACAATGTTTAAGACCATAAAAAAAAGCCTGTTCTAGACCCTCAAAAAAGGGGATCAAAACAGGTTAATCACTTTATTGCAATACAACATTTTATTAAAAAGTATGATGGAAAGCCTTGTTTCTTTGTATTCTTTGTATAATTTCCATTGTGATATATATGACAGTTTTAATATAACATTTATGGTTTATGAGTCAAAAGTTGTCTATACAGGGGTCAACCCTAAGTATTTGAAGTTGGAATTTTTTCTTTGTATACCATGTGAAAATTCTGGCCATTTATATTTGTGCTAGACTTTATTGGGTATCTCCATTCAAAAGGCCAAAATTTCCACTTTATTCCTATGAATTTTTTTCCCTAAATAGCCAGTGCTTATTCATAAATGATTTAAGTATTTAAATTTTCCTTGGTGATATGTTAAGCATGAATTATGATGCATTAATCACAGCCCTTTATCTAATCTTTATTGCCTTACCAGAGGTATACTTGATAAGTTCTCTCTCATTGTGACATGACTGATTAATCCTGCACTTTTAAAAGATATGATAATGTTGCTGATACAAGCTTTATCTCTTTATCTTATCATTTTACAGGCAATTGAAGTACATCCAATCATATTGCTAAATCATGTAAAATTACATATGTAGGATAAAAAAGTTGTTTGATTTATTGAGAAATTATAGATATTAACTCTATGATGTTGAGAAGAGTGGTGATGTCAGAAGGCATCGATATGCCCCTGCTGTAGCAGAGGGGGCATTACATTTTACCTTTGTCTGTCTGTACGTCAGTATGTCTGTATATAAGTCTGTACGTCCCAAAGTTGGTTCAAAACTGTCCGTTATCTTACTTTAGTTTGCCTCAACCAAATGTTATGAAACTTATACACAATGCTAGTTAACACAACACACAGATCAAGTTTGAATTTTGGTGGTGTCACTTTAATCGTTCTAGAGTTATGTCCCTTTACAACTGGAAAAAATGCTGATTTTGTTTTCGTTTCTGTAATCCAACATAAGTTTACTACAACCAAATGTTATAAAACTTATAGACAATGCTTATTCAACAAAGTACTGATCAAGTTTGAATTTTGGGAGTGTACCAATTTTTTTTTGTAGAGTGATGCCTCTATACAAATGTTTTTGTTTCTGTTCTCCAACTTAAGTCATCTCAACCAAATTTTATGAAACTTATACACAATACTTATGTCCCTTTATATAATATGCAAGCAGTGGTATCATCTGTGTCCAATGAACACATTCCCTATTTTTTTCTATGTTTAATTTATGTTTATTCATTATAACTCTATTGCACATCATTACAGAAAAAAACAGTTTTTATCTCTCCTCGACAAGAGATTAAATTTGAGACTTAGGTATGCTATAAACAGGAAATGTCAGTTGAAGTGGAACCACTAATGGTATGTCCATGATATGTGGTATGCAGCTCCCATCTCATGTACTTCCATGGAGATAATTTGGCCGGCCCCATCAGTTATGGTCCATTGACTCTGAAACTTTTTTCTATTTAACTTACTTTCATAATTTATACATTAGACACAAATTTGTGTCTTAAGCCACAAAAAACTATGAAATATTATCAAGGCCATGTAATACCAGAGAAAGGTTTGGTCAGTTAAAAGAAAGAATTCCAGCATGTAAACCTGTAAGAATTCAGATATATGCACGCTAAAATATCTGTTCTTTCTGTTGTAAATAATTTAGATGAGAATTAAGTTGAAACCTACAGAAAACCTGATAGACAATTAACTTTCAGAAAATATTCTCTGAACCACTTGACATGCAGGGCTTAAACAGCAACCATGGCAAAAATATACCTCGAAATTTTATTATTTATTACCGATAAGGCTGTTCAAATCATTTACAAATGTTCCATCATGTATTTTATCGATTCTGATCAACTCTGTGACATCATAACACGGAATTTGTACTAATGTAAAAATAAGAAGATGCGGTATGATTGCCAATGAGACAACACTTGAGACCAAATGACGTAGAAGATAATAATCAAAAGTGACTGTATGGACTTTTCGATGTGCAAACCCATACTGCATAGATAGCTTTTAAGGCCGCGAAATAACAAATGTAAAACAATTTAAACGAGAAAAACTAACGGCCTGATGTACGTATAAACAAAAACAAAATATGATATTTATACAATAACACAAACACTGAATTACAGGATTCTAAATCTTGACATACAGAGTGATGAAGGGTTTGTATTGTGTAACTGATAACAATCACATCAACGAAACTTCTTTTAATGACAACATGTCGAAATGTCACAAAAATAGCATGTATACTTTCGGATTAAAAATTCCAATTTGTCTGTTTGTCTTTTTCTTTTTTAGCTAAGGCGTTCTCCGTTTATTTTTAGATCTACTTGGTGACTGGGACTATTATACTAATAGTATAATAGTCCCAGTTGGTGACAAGTATGTCGAATCAAAATAGAGTTTTACCTGAATACTTTTGATTGTCTCTCTGGTATCTTAATTTCGCCCCTCTTCTATGGTCTTTGCTTTATCGTACTTAATGATTGCTATCATTTAGCGATCACTATGATGTCTTTAATCATTTTTAGTTTGTTTCTTTGTATATAGTTTCTAAATGAAAAGCAAGTTGTCCATTATCACTTAACGTAAGTAATTATACAAATAAAATAGTTTCAAGTCTAAAAAAGATTGTGTTACCTTTTATTGATCTTCCATTTTGATGTCATAGATAGCAATGTCTTCTTTTCTGACAAACTCTCATAATGAACATATTTGCATAATCATCCTTATGCTTTCGATTTATATCTTATTAACTATATTAAAGTACTGAAACTATCAGTTCTTGAAAATGACTGACTTTTGCAGTTCTGAAAAAATGACGGGAAAATGCAGTACTGAAAAATGACTGAAATATTCAGTACTGAAAAATGACTGAAATTTACAGTACTGAAAAATGACTGAAATTTACAGTACTGAAAAATGACTGAAATATTCAGTACTGACATATGACTGAAATTTACAGTACTGAAAAATGACTCAAATATTCAGTACTGAAAAATGACTGAAATTTACAGTACTGAAAAATGACTGAAATTTTCAGTACTGAAAACAACTTTTTCTAAACATTACTAAAAATGATATATAAATTAATGTACTGAAAATACATGGGTAAGAAATGTACTGATTAGTGATGTTTCCTAAAAGTACTGTTTATATAGCGGGATTTAATGTACTGATTAGTGATGTTTCCTAAAAGTACTGTTTATATAACGGCATTTAATTTACTGAGAAGTGATGTTTCCTAAAAGTACTGTTTATATAGCGGCATTTAATGTACATGTAAACGTTAGGCAAATTGTTGGTAGTGTATAAATACCCTGCCACGTCCTCTCTGTGTTTTTGTGATCTGATGAGTTAAGCCCTTATCAACTGATTTTTATAGTTAGTTCATATGTTGTACTGTTACACTGCTGTCCCAGGTTAGGGGTGGGTGCCCGCTAACATGGTTAACCCCGCCACATTTTGTATGTGCCTGTCCCAAGTCAGGAGCCTGTCATTCAGTGGTTGTCGTTTGTTGCTGTATATCGTATATCATATTTGTATTTCGATCATTGTTTTTTTACACAAATCAAGCCGTTAGTTTTCTCCTTTGAATTGTTTTACATTTTTCATTTCGGGGTCTTTTATAGCTGACTATGTAGTATGGGTTTTGCTCATTGTTGAAGGCCGTACAGTGACCTATAGTTGTTAACTTCTATGTCATATGGTCTCTGGTGGAAAGTTGTCTCATTGGCAATTATACCACATCTTCTTATTTTTATATCACTAACTTCAAAATATAAAAAGTAAATACAACCAAACATCAGACAAAAGTCTTTGTACATGCAAAGTTAATTCTAATATTTAATATGGTTATTCATGTATATGAATATTGCATATACATGTATGCATAGGAGAGTTATAAATGCAGTGGAAAAGTTAACTTATTATTAATGGATATTAATATTTGACAGTAATTTACAATCTTGATAAAAGAAGAAAAAAACTTAAAGAGAAAGAACAGTTCAAGTACTAACAAAACAAAACAGATTAAATTTATAAGTTATCAGTTTTCCTGAATTTCTAGTTTAACCATAATTATATTCCAGATGAAAGTTTATCTCTCAATTGCTTAAGAATTAATATGTGGCCTTGAATTTAAAAAAAAAACAAATGTTATCTTATCTATATTACAAAATACAATCCTAAAAGAGAGACCACATGCAAATTTTAGAAATAACAGTATAGTTTTGGAATTTCTGAAGTAAGTTTGGAAAACCAATAATAATAAGTTTTAAGATTTATGATGAAATTGGCATTTTTTAATATACAAGCCAAAACAAGTCATAAACATACATGAAACTAGCCTTTCATAATGAACAGACCTTTTACTTACAAAGCCTGGGGGTAATGTTGTTTGTCCCATCATAAGTCGCGTTGCTTTATGAATTGTCAACAAAATGCACAGAACTATCGGATGAACAAAATTACCAAATTTGACTTAAATTATATAAAAAAATGAATCTGCCCAATGTTGAATAATATAATATATTTTAATGTATTTTTCAGGACTGACAGTAGAAAATATATGGATGGAAGCAAATCTTTGTTTTCTTCAAGTTCAAATTATGACAAAAACAGTATTAAAAGAAAAGGAGAAATGTTATCGGGGAAATCAAGTTCCAGTTTGTCCGATGATGTGTTTAATAGTCACTCTGCCTATGAGAAAAATACATTTTTTAAAGCGAAAAATAGTAATAGTAGTGTATATAATAGTCATGAAACATACAAATTTAAAAATAGATTTGATCCAATAGCAGATCATAGTAAAAATTATTCAATTGAAGAAAACAAAAATAGTAATGGAATTCATATGACTGACGATCTTACGGACTGTGAGTTAGCTAGAAATTGTCAATTATCGTCGTGTGTACATAAGCATGTTAAACAGTTAACAGAACAGAAGTGTGATATTTGTAAAGAAATAGACTTGCCTACTGGCAAAGCAAGTACTCGGGGACAAAAAATTGTTGATATTGAATTTTTAGGTATAAAACCAATACAACAGAGTCCAACTTCTTTAAAATGGCATACAAAATTAACTACAAGGACAATAAATATGAGATCTATGAAAATGCCAACTTTAAGACTGAGGGGAAAACCTACTAATGAAAATTTAAAAGGAGATTTAGAAAGCCAGAATATCAAGAAGAAAAATTCAAATATTTTGAAGGACATTTCTGGTGAGATAGACAGGCAGACTTTTGTGGCACAGTATGTGGATAATCTTGAACTTCCTCTGGAAATAGATAATCTTGAATGCAATGCAAAAGAAAATAAATTTAAAAATGATCATTCAGACTCTCAGGAATCTTCGAACTTTCAACTTACTCAGTCTGTAGTTCATGATGTTGGACCTGGTCCATTTATACAGGAACCAACTCAGGTGCAGTACATCTCTAGCAGCAGTGAAGAAAAGACACAGGTACTTCTATGCATTGTTGTAATTGTTTTAAACTTGTACTTACTGTCATTTTGAAATAATTAAAACTGGCATAAAGATTCATATACATATATATTTAATGTAATTATTGAGCACTGTAATCTCTGTAGAAGATGTACAGAGGTAGGTTTGTGTCAATTCATTTAATGACGGACGAAACATGTATTATAATAATATATATCTGTTTTTCCAACACACAAAATAGTGTAAATTATATTGCTGTGGACCCATTATTTTTGTTTGTATAAATTTTCATGGATTGAGGGAAAAAATAATTTTTGTGGATACTTGATTTCATGTTTTGACAAATTCTACATACATGTGAATAGATAATATATATTGTGTGGAACATTAGTGAAATTTGTGGTTAACCTTTACCCAGCATGCCCCATTAGTTCAAGAAAATTAGAAACAAACACATGATAAATGACAAATCTAAAACTATAAATATTTATTACACATACATCTGTAAACTACAGTTGGTGTTGAAACATGACTTGAATCTTGCTGTAGACTGCTATGTTTTTGTTTGTTTTACAGAATGGTACAGTTATGGAAACTGCTGAATCTGAAAACTTTGGTATGTGTTCTTCTACAGTTTGTAAAGAGGGGTTGGAGTATAATGATATCAGTAGCGGATCCAAGGGGGTTCCAGGGGTTAGAACCCCCCTTTTTTTTTGACGATCTATGCTTTTGAATGAGGACATATGGTTGGAACTCCCCCTTTATCCTGGGTTGGAACCCCCCCTTTTAAATATGGCTGGATCCGCCCCTGGATACCCATGCTCTGAAGGAGGGTGGTATACTGTTAATTTTGTTATAAGGGTTTATCTGAACCTACTAGTTTGTGTGATGCCTTTTCAAATCCAGTAAGCAACATTAAGCAGTAAGAGAACAGCATGGTCATTATGGGGTCAGATTAATTTGTCTATGTACTGTGACATGTCTTTCTGCTGACTGATCAAGTTTAGAACTAGTTTGTACAAATGAGGCTCAGTGTATCAGTATAATAAGGCACAGTAAATTCATATGACATTAGGTATGTAATTGTCCTAAACATACATGTTATATCTGCAGCTGGATGTTAAACACCCATCAATCAGCCAAAGGAGAATAAATGTTGGCTTTATAATGACTCATAACTACATGTACATAAAATTGAGAATGGAAATGGGGAATATGTCAAAGAGACAACAACCCAACCAAAGAGCAGATAACAGCCGAAGGCCAGCAATGGGTCTTCAACGCGGCGACAAAATTCCGCACCCGGAGGTGGGTCTCAGCTGGCCTCTAAATAAAAATGTGTACTAGTTCAGTGAAAATGGATGTTATACTTACTCCAAAACATATAAATGAACTAAAATTAAAAAACATACAAGACTAACAAAGGCCAGAGGCTCCTGGCTTGGGACAGGCGCAAAATGTGGCGGGGTTAAACACGTTTTGTGAGATCTCAACCCTCCCCCTATACCTCTAGCCAATGTAGAATAAACAAACACACAGCAATACGCGCAGTAAAACTCAGTTTAAAAGAAGTCCGAGTCCGATGTCAGAATAGGTAACAAAAGAAACTAAGCAAAATGACAATGATACATAAATTAACAAAGGACTACTAGCAGTTACTGACATGCCAGCTCCAGACCTCAATTAAACTGATTGAAAGATTATGTCTTCATCATATGAAAATCAAGCACAATCCCTCCTGTTAGGGGTTTAGTATTATACCATCATAAAATATATGAGAAGAACATAACCCGTATCATGCCAATAACTGGTTTTAGAATAAATGTGTTTTTTTCCGAATCCCGATGCAAAGACCCTATGAGTGAATCAATATTAATACCAAAATATGCCATCCTTAATGACATGACAACAGTATCGTAACTATATCCCTTCTGAATAAGTCTGTTTAAAGGTTTGGATGTCGACATTTTTGTGCTTTGTAAAGAATATTACGATAAAAGAAATGATAAAAGATTGGATGTGAAATACCTGAACGTATAAGGGAGCTACCATTTGATTTTTATGGGGGGGCTAGGATGAAAAATTTTGTCCTGCATTTTTTTTTAGTTGTAATCTCGGTCCTACCTTTTTATTTTTCACTTTATTCGGTCCTGCCTTTTATTTTATTAGTTTATCCTGACTTTTTATACATAATTTGTCATCCTGCCTTTTTATACATAATTTGTCATCCTGCCTTTTTTTGTTTGCCAAGTTGCTCATCCTGCCTATTTTTTTACTCAAAACTTCTGTCCTGCCTTTTTTTTTCAAATTTCATCCTAGCCCCCATAAAAATCAAATGGTAGCTCCCTAAGATGTCTGCATGTTGATTTATATTTACGAATGATGTCCTTGTACCGATGATAAAATTTAGTAAATGTTTTGACTAGTTTGTGATATCGAAAACCCTGGTGTAATAATTTTTCAGTAATACAGAGATTTCTTTCATTAAAATCAAATACGTTGTTACATACATGAGCGAATCAAACAAGTTGAGATATATAAACACCATAAGATGGTGACAAGGGAACGTCACCCTCTAAAAATGCATAATTAACAATAGGAAATGAAAAATCATCTCTTTTTTATCATAAATTTTGGTATTAAGCTTCCCGTTAAAGATATACCGGTAGATATCAAGATCCAGGAAAGGGCAGTGTTTATTGTTAGTATTAGCTTTATTTAAAGTCAGTTCAACAGGATAAATCTCTTTAGTGTACATACTGAAGTCATCATTATTGACACACAATTGAGAGCCAATATATCATCCAAATATCTAAAAGTGTTATTAAATTTTATGTTGTAATAAAAAGTAAGTCTTCTTTATAAAAACAACTATTATACAAGGGGAACTAACTGTTATTTATAGACGACTCTCAGGCATTTCATTATTGTTTGCTCATTCAATAATCTCCCTGAAAAAGCATCATAATTCAGTTGAAGCTGATATTTTGTACAAATGATTATGCAACACAAACTATAGCATGTATAGCTAAAAGGGAAGTAATGTTTCCGATTAAAAAAAACACACATTGGTTGGGTCCATTTTTTTGATACCAAAAATCAGATTAAGGAATCTGAGCAGATGTAGGTGTAATACCACCATTGATTTTCCCCTATAAGCAATGATTAGTCTTTGTTAAATTTGCACTTTTCAAAAAATTATGCAGAATTTATCTTTGTTTCAAATAAAGAAATACTTGGCATGAGTAAAGTTTTATCCTGTCCAGTACTATAGACAAAATTTCACATAACATTTCATTTCATATAAGAAAATAACCATCAGCGATAGTTAAGCAATCAAATTTTCACCCCTTTTCTTCCTGTGTACAAGCTTTAGTAACCATGTAACCTCAAGTTTCCTAAATATTCTATAGAAACACCAAAAAAAAAATAAGGGTGCTTTGAAACACCCAAGATATATGTTTATGACTCAGAAATTGTTGACTGCAATGAAATGTAGGATTTATTTTCTACAACTCAAATTCAAGGGAATATTTTTTTTCAACCATTTTTCGTATGCAACCGGATGTGACGAACTATAATTTGATGGTATTACACCTGTACCTTGGTTTACAATTCATTTTTTATTTTCTCCCAATATTTCTCTCTTGTGACAGGTGAGGACTCTAAAAGAGAGGCTAAACATAGTAAAGGGACATTCAAACTCATATTTTAAAAATAAACTGACAACGCCATGGCTAAAAATGAAAAAGACAAACAGTCAAACAACAGTGCACAAAACACAACATAGAAAACTAAAGACTGAGCAACACGAACTCCACCAAAAACTGGGGATGATCTCAGGTGCTCTGGAAGGGTAAGCAGGTCCTGCTCCACATGTGGCACTCCTCTTGTTGCTCATTTTAGTATAATCCCAGTAATAAGTCTAATTAGGTACCCGTAGGTCACATTCGGGGAAAGGGGGATGGGATTGTAGTTACGACATTGGAACATATCCACTATCATCTGTGAAACAGATATTCCATAAATGTCAACCAACTGGTGATGGCGTCTGTAAAATTTACGAAGGGATGACTTCAACTTCACCACTTGAAACTCTTGGTTTAATAGCTTCCTTGTGAGCAGCAACCCTCTATCAAGGAAATCATGATAGGAAATACAAGCCCTGAAATATTGTACACTGCACCATAGATTTCACATGAATAGCTGATGATTTAGTTTACAGCAGACACATCACTTTTGTTTCTGATGGCCTTTTATGTCTGTTGAACTTTTGTAACTTGATTACAGAATCCTTATTTGGATACTTTCCCAATTGTATCTGTTATAATGTGTTGTTCATTCCAACAATTCCTTTCCTGTACAAATATCCAGTACAATGCCTCTTCCTTAATTTGCAGAAACACTACATTTACCTTGAAATGATAAAAATAACAGTAACAAATGTAAAAGCTTGAAATATACTTTATAACGTTATCTATGTTCCTGTTGTCAAACTCTACTGTACACACAAATTAATTCCTAATTTACACAGCGCCCTGAGCGGCAGGGCATATTTCCCCACAGTGTAGCAGTCTTGTATTGATTCACCTGGTGTGCCAGATAACCTATCACCAAGATTGTTGAAGTCCATCTTCCCATCACTGGTCATACCCTTTACTTTCTTAGTTAATAAAATTGTGCCTAGTGGAAGGAAGTTGGCTAATGTACCTGCATTGTACAAATAAATGCAAGGGAGGTAGTGATAATGTGCTGCATCTATAGACCAACAGACCAATACCTGTTACCAACTGTTTTTGTTGAATGTTTCAAAATTATTCCAGATTCAAAAAGTTCCTTGTTTGTAGTATAAATTAGGATAATAAGATAATAGTGTATGCAATATAACTGGGATTCTTGGTTATTAGCCTCTTCTTTGATAGGCTTTGAACACAATAGCTATAAATAAGTGATGTCAGTTGACATTATTTGACCATATGCATGGTAAAAATATTAAAATCATATATATTAAAAAAAACAATTCAACATGCTCCAATCATCTGATGAGATGGTTCTTACACCAAGTAAAAATTTACAGAAATGTCAGTTTATATTAAACACATTTATTTTATTAATACATCAAATTTTGCCACAAACAAGGATTTGTATAGTAAGACAATAGAACTATGGTACTATACACATCCTTGCTACAGATAAGAATATAATATATCATCTACAAAAACTAAGTAATTAACATGATGTTTTTCTTCTTCTTCTTTAATATGGTATCCAGTTATCCATCAGATTTTTGGTGATTATTAACTGCTTTGCATGCATAGGATAATTATAAGTAAATATTTACAATGAAAATAGTGCCAAAAATAAATAATAACATGACATGTGGTTCAAACTATTTACATAAATACTAAGGTTTACTATTCTATATTGTACAGTAGGTGTCAACTGTTCTCTAAAATTATTGAGTGTAGGGGAAAGTACTACTTTTGAAGGTAGTAAATTCCATTGTATAATTGTGTAAGAGAAAAAATGAATATCTGTAGCAGTCTTTAGATATAAGTAGGTGTCTGTGAGTATATGGATGGATTTGCCGGGTTCTATTGCCTGTTTGTAGTAAAAGTAATACTGAGGGTTATGAGACGATATGGTGTACTATTTTATAGAACATTATGATATAAAAAAGAAGATGTGGTATGATTGCCAATGAGACAACTCTCCACAAGAGACCAAATGAGTCTAGTTTTAAGTCTGCATTGTTGTAAGGTAGGCCAGTTTAGAGTATTGAGCATGTCTGTAACGCTACTGGTGTTATGATAACGATTACAGGCGTACCTAGCAGCCCAACGCTAAACTATCTCAAGTTTATTGCATTGTTCAGCCGTATGAGGGTTCCAAACCGAGCATTGAAGCTTACTCTAGTTTTGGACGGACAAGTGCTAGGTATGCCTGCCTAGGCTTATTTGCATTTGCGATATTATAGTTTGTATGTTTAGTCCATTTTAAATCAGATTTTTCCCTGAATAATCCATACAAAATGTGTCATTTTTCCACAACCTTGAAAAAAATCTTGGTGACCTATCATTTTTATTATATTTTTAAATATATCATAATGGCGTACAATGGGAGGTAACTCTCATTGTACCTAATTGATAACGCCTTGTACAAGATTGCTTCCCCTTGTTATTTCATCTGGGTTTTAATTAACATGTGGTTTAAAGCAAGAGAGTATGTTCCAGCCACACTTTTATAATTATGTAATTGATATTTTTTTTTTTTTTTCGTTGTTGATTTTTTCTAATTACTGTTATTATTACCCACATCAGGGTTTAGGTGCTTCATATTGACACTTTGTTCATTGTAGCTTATTGATACCATGTTTGGTATAACTATATATGATTGCATTATTATTATAATAAAGCACCTTTTGCCGAACACTATTAGTTGTCAATTTATACTACATTTTGGCAAAGTATGAACATTTTTTTTTCATTTTTCTTTAACACTTCCATACCACCTTAAAACTGGGACTTTTATAGTAACAGGTACAACAGTCCCAGTGTAAAATATAATTTCAACATGTTCTTGTGTGATCATGACTGTTTATTTCTCTTGGGTATTTAGCTATATTCATATTAGATATCAATAAGGGAGATAACACATGCAAAACAAAAAAGCGGCAAACATTGTTTACACTTTCCCTAGAACACCTGAGACGTTAAAGGCGCGTAGTTTGAATCTACAAGAGAAAATGTTGGGAAGATAATCTAGAGAAGCTCTGAATACCGATTTTCCTCTTAACTTAGGTACGTAAGCATTGGCATTCTCTCCAATTAACTTTCTAAAACGTTCACGTTTTTAATTTTATAGAAATTTTCCCAAAAGGGATAATTTTCTGTGTTCGGATCGAATTTCTAATTAGATCGCCCTTTGTTTGTCCTAGTCCTTTACAACGGCACTTTTACAATGAGAACAGAGTTACAGCTATAACGAAATAAACTTCTGCCATGGGAGTATTTTTTTTTGGGGGGGGGGGGGGGAATACTCGGATAGTCATAATTTAATAGGTGATAAGTGAACATATGCTTTCTTACACGTAGGTTTACATGGCAAGTCAATGTGACATATATGTCTGGACAAAATAATATCTCATATGAAAAATGATAAACTAAACTATATAGTATAGATGGTATGAATACTTGTCATGCTCAAAATTACTGTGAATTGGTTTGGAAGTAAAATCCCGGGACATACATTGTTTTGGGCTTTGTGATTTTCATGCATGGTGGATTAGCATTATAAAATTAAATATGGCACAAGATGTGCTCTAAAATTAAGTTATTTTGTTTAGTAACCTTCATTGACACAATGGTTTCATTGGTTACAATGTACATATACATGCATCTAAAATAACAGATGATGGGCTTTAACCATTATTAAACTTTTGAATCAAATTAGTGCTATTAAGTTATAATTTATACATGTACATGTAGGTGTACATAATCAAGTAAAGTCATGACAATTGGCAATAGATTTATCGTAAAATATATCAAACTTCTTTGTCGTATATATATGTTATGTGGTTTTATTAATACGTGCATGTATATTTATAGTTCTGTGGGAAAAATTATAACAATGAACCTGAATATGATCAAATTTAACAAAAAAGTATTTGATTAAAAGATGTTTATTTTTATGATTGACATATATGTACATGTCATATAGGATATATCATGTATATAGGATATATGGATCCCTATATATCTTAAAAAAAGAAATGCAATCTTATTTAAGGGATAATCCTCTATATATGGGCTTTAATTATGTTTGTAAACCTGTTGATCAAGTATTGTGCCTATAGCATGCAATAAGCAATTAAACAATAAATGTCAGATATTATAAAGATTACTCACTTGTCACATTTACCTAACTTGAATTATGAATACAATAAATAATCTTGAATATCTTGTTTCTTTCAGAGATTTTTACCTGTCAGTCCACACCCTGTCCAAGATCTCCATCTAATATCGATATTATTGACAGTATGTCTGATGCTAGCTTTGACGATGAAGTATTAGTTCCTACCTCGGACCTAGACGAAATTGATGTAAGCTTTAGTTTATAAAATTTCTGTTGTTTTAAAATTTGCACAAAAATTTATGTCTTAAATGTAAGGCCTAAGGGTAAATACTAATACTAATATTATTTTTGAATGTTTGTCTTTTTTCATGTATATATACACACCCTCCAAAAAAGTCTTGATCATACCAATAAACAACTCTTACTTATATTGAGTATTTAAGAAATAATTCATGGCAGTCTGATTTATCCTTTTCCTGACCTGTTGATTATTTTTATTTAATCACCATGTGGTTCGTTTGATCTCAGTTCTTCATTGGTCAAAATTTGATTTAATATGACGTCAAATTTCCTTGCTTTCCTCTGAATTTCCTATTGTGACGTCATGAATAAAGGCGACCATTCCTGATGACGTCACATTGAAAGAACACATCTTTTTGCAGATCATTCAAAAAGAAGGATTAAGATTGTCTGTATATCGTGTAAAAATCATTATAGAAACACCACCAAATCTTGTGCAATATGATATTTATCCACTCAACAGTTAAATTTTAAATATTTAAAATGCTCGGCGAGCCTAGTGTTTTAAATTTGAAAATTAAACTGTCTAGAGTGGATAAATATCATATCACACTTAATGCAGTGGTAGAATCTATATTTATTTAACCATGGGTTGGGCATTATATTCTATTATTTTATCCCGAGCGATATCCGTATATGCCAAGAATTAGTTCCATTCTAATAGGACAAATACAGTAATTTTGTCAACCTTGAAAGCCCTATACACACGATACTGTTTTGTCTGTTCCGTTTTACTCCCATATAATAATATGAATAATTTTATATTATTCAATAATGAATAAAAAACTCACATTTTTCAACTGAAACCGTGGTAGCGGAGGGGCATTAAGTTTTACCCTTGTCCATCTGTATGTATGTCCGTCCGTCCATATGTCCCAAAGTTGGTTTCCGTTCTCTAACTTTAGTTTGCCTCAACCAAATGCTATGAAACTTATACACGATGCTTATTACCACAAAATACAGATCAAATTTGAATTTTGGTGGCATCACTTTAACTGTTCTAGAGTTATGCCCCTTTACAAAGGGAAAAATTGCTGAATTTTTCCTTTCCGTTCTCTAACTTTAGTTTGCCTCAACCAAATGCTATTAAACTTATACACAATGCTTATTACCACAAAATACAGATCAAGTTTGAATTTTGGTGGTGTCACTTTAACTGTTCTAGAGTTTAATATGCCCTTACAAAGGGAAAAATTGCTGAATTTTTCGTTTCTGTTCTCTAACTTAAGTTTGCCTCAACCAAATTTTATGAAACTTATACACAATACTTATTACCACAAAACTCAGATCAAGTTCAAATTTGGGTACGGTCAGACACTTTTACCGTTCTTTAGTCATGTTAGTTATGTCCGTTTATAATTTTATATGATATCATATGCAAGCAGGGGCATCATCTGTGTCCCATCGACACATTCCACATTTACTTATCTAATTTTATTACATTCTGAGGTGTACAAAAAGCCTGAAAACATTTGATGCCTGAAACATACGTATATTTGTATGGCGTCAATTTGTTTAGTTGCCAAAGACAATAACATTACATTGTATTTCACGAAATTTTTGTTTTTAATATGACATTTTACATCAAAATAATAACTGAAATGGACTGATTTGTTTATTTAGCTTTAGAATAGAGATAACCGTATTGTATTTGAAGCTTAGCCTACATAAAACATGGATTTTACTGTCAAAAATTCAGTTCACCTGGTCGTATATATAAGATTTGGTAAAGCAGAACAGCCAATTTTGTGTGTTAATGCGTCTGCATTGAAAGTAGATTTGCTGTGATTATACTGATTGACAATGAATATATAGGTAGTCATATTAGAATAGTCATAGTTGACCTAAAAATTAGTTTTAAACCATTCAAAGGTGACCCAATGATTATTTTACATCATTTTAGATATCTGTTTAATAACAACATATCAATTTTTATGGAAATACACTAATTGGTTTTGAAGGAATGAGGATAACATTAAGATTTTTGTTTGTACATGTATGCAACATTTATGTCGTGGAAGTGTTACATAGCGATCCTACATTTCTGTCATGTCTGTTGTCATTGGCAGTAATGTCAACATTCAGGTTCAGTCTGTGGGTGGAAGTTTTATTTGACATTAATTCGTCAAACCTTTATAAAATTTTATGAATCATTGGCAGAAGCTTTTTTATGAATAAGAGATAATGTCTGAAGCAAAATTTTCAAAATCATTTTTTTATATTTTTCAGTTTTGTTTTTTTTAAATTTTTTACTGTTAGTTTTTTGTAGTTAAAATTTACAGACAGTCTGGGAGTTTTGTTGACATGATAAATTTGTAAACCTTCATGGATTGTTATTAAACTTGGACAGAAGCTTATATTCAAGATCAAGAAATATTATCGGAAGATGAAAGTTTAATTTTAAAATAAAAAATCTGTATTTTACTGAAACATTTGTACATGTAACATATATACATTTTAGTGCATGCATCTCATTGGAAAACATATAAGGGTCCTGTACATTCAGTTATTCTCCAATACACATTTGCCAAATAATAGTGAATGAGCATAAGTTTTAGGATGGAACTTTTTTTATGTACATTTTGTAAATGTACAGGGCCTAAAATAAAATATTGTTTGTTTCCCCAATCCCGACCGACCCGGAAAAATCGCCGCGACCGGAATAATTTTATTGCCGATTTTGTGTAGAAATTTTTTTTTATCGAAATTCATGTGGTTGTGCGGTGCTCCTATGAAATGGAGGAGTCAAATACATAAGACATAAGAAGGAGACGCTGTTCTTCAAAGCGCCTATGTAATCGGCATAGTTGAAAACGCCTTGATGACACGACTTGGCTTTCTTCTTGCACGTGGTCTCGAGTCTTTACGATATTCTCTAGATTGTTCATACATTTGAATGTCAGAACATGGACATCGTTCTGTCGGTTTCTGTTGCCGTTTATTTGAAAAAGGTTGTGTGTGGACTGCAAATCTCATGCTATCTAAGGACTCATTTATTTAGATTTTATAGACAAGAATGTGTGTGATACTGGTGTAGAGATATACCGACAATTGTATATAGTGTACATCGTTATACATATTCTATTGGTGATTGGATACTTTTAACATAACATTCCACTGGTGAAGGGATATTGTTGACTTCATTCTGAAGGTGTGCCTATATTGGCAGAAAATATACAGATACAGATACAGATGGAAACTTTAAGAAAGACTACCGGTAGGTAACAAATGTGTTGCGCAGATTTTCGAAGAAGGAAATATTGGAAGACATATGTAAGGACGTGATAGCCGATTTAGAATTGACTGAAGAGGAGGAGGATGCTCTTGACAAAAAACACATCCGTGTATCCATTTCTGAAAAAAAGTGGTTCTACAGAAATTTTCAGTCCACACTACGGTGATGACATGAAACTGGCACTAGACTTTAATAAAGACTTTAAGTTTTTGTAATTTTGCATTGACATTGATGGGACCTCTACAGAAAAGAAGCCTCCTCAAATATTGTCAATACCTTTGACAAAATGATTTGAGCCAGTCAAGCTGTCAACAAACATCTTAAGCGAAAAGAAGAAGCTATTAACAAGTTTACAGGTATGCATAATAAGTGACTGTCCCAACATCTATTTCTTGCAAGCAAAGGTAGATTTTTAGCTCACCTGACCTGAAAGGTCAAGTGAGCTTTTCTCATCACTTTGCGTCCGTCGTCCTGCGTCCGTCGTCCGTAAACTTTTACAAAAATCTTCTCCTCTGAAACTACTGGGCCAAATGCACCCAAACTTGGCCACAATCATCATTCAAGTATCTAGTTTAAAAAATGTGTCCGGTGACCCGGCCAACCAACCAAGATGGCCGCCATGGCTAAAAATAGAACATAGGGGTAAAATGTAGATTTTGGCTTATATCTCTGAAACCAAAGCATTTAGAGGAAATCTGACTTGGGTAAAATTGTTTATCAGGTCAAGATCTATCTGCCCTGAAATTTTCAGATGAATCGGACAACCCGTTGTTGGGTTGCTGCCTCTGAATTGGCAATTTTAAGGAAATTTTGCCGTTTTTGGTTATTATCTTGAATGTTATTATAGATAGAGATAAACTGTAAACAGCAATAATGTTCAGCAAAGTAAGATCTACAAATAAGTCAACTTGACCAAAATGGTCAGTTGATCTCTTAAGGAGTTATTGCCCTTTATAGTCAATTTTTAACCATTTTTCGTAAATTTTTGTAATCTTTTAAAAAAATCTTCTCCTCTGAAACTACTTGGCCAAATTTAACCAAACTTGGCCACAATCATCATTGGGGTATCTAGTTTGAAAAATGTGTCCAGTGACCCGGCCAACCAACCAAGATGGCCGCCATGGCTAAAAATAGAACATAGGGGTAAAATGTAGATTTTGGCTTATATCTCTGAAACCAAAGCATTTAGAGCAAATCTGACGTGGGGTAAAATTGTTTATCAGGTCAAGATCTATATGCCCTGAAATTTTCAGATGAATAGGACAACCCGTTGTTAGGGTTGCTGCCTCTGACTTGGTAATTTTAAGGAAATTTTGCCGTTTTTGGTTATTATCTTGAATATTATTATAGATAGAGATAAACTGTAAACAGCAATAATGTTCAGCAAAGTAAGATCTACAAATAAGTCAACTTGACCAAAATGGTCAGTTGATCCCTTAAGGAGTTATTGCCCTTTATAGTCAATTTTTAACCATTTTTCGTAAATTTTTGTAATCTTTTAAAAAAATCTTCTCCTCTGAAACTACTTGGCCAAATTTGTCCAAACTTGGCCACAATCATCATTGGGGTATTTAGTTTAAAAAATGTTTCCGGTGACCCGGCCAACCAATCAAGATGGCCGCCATGGCTAAAAATAGAACATAGGGGTAAAATGTAGATTTTGGCTTATATCTCTGAAACCAAAGCATTTAGAGCAAATCTGACGCGAATAAAATTGTTCATTAGGTCAAGATCTATCTGCCCTGAAATTTTCAGACCAATCAGGCAACACGTTGTTGGGTTGCTGCCCCTGAATTGGTCATTTTAAGAAAATTTTGCAGCTTATGGTTATTATCTTGAATATTATTATAGATAGAGATAAACTGTAAACGGCAATAATGTACAGCAAAGTAAGATCTACAAAAAAGTCACATGATCAAAATTGTCAATTGTCCTCTTAAGGAGTTATTGCCCTTTATAGTCAATTTTTTACAATTTTCATAAATTTTGTAAATTTTTGTAAATTTTTACATAATATTTTCCACTGTAACTACTGGACTGGGCCAAGTTCATTATAGATAAAGATAATAGTAAGGAGCAAGAATGTTCAGTAAAGTAAGATCTACAAACACATCACCATCACCGAAACGCAATTTTGTCATGAATCCATCTGTGTCCTTTGTTTGATATGCACATAGACCAAGGTGAGCGACACAGGCTCTTTAGAGCCTCTAGTTTTAGGATAAGGAGAGTTTCCCCACCTTTGTTTGCATTCTTTTTCTTGTTTTCTTGCAAATTTTCAAACCCTTAACCTAAATTCCCTAATGATTTCCTTATGCCCTTACTAATTTGACCCGAGGCCTGAAAGCAATTGATTTAAATTAATCATTTGGTCCCTAATAAAAGCAGACCACTCCACACTAGTCTCGTAAAAGCAGACAGCCCATACTTCTCTAAAAAGAAGGCTGCCACAATGGTAGTGTGCTCGCCTCGAGTACGGTGGCTTCGATCCCTGACAGAGTCACTGAACCAAAGGCTTTAAAATTGGTATTTGCTGCTTTTCCGCGAAGCATGCAGTACTAGAGTTAGAGCAAAGACTGGTTTGCCCGGAATCAGAATAATGTGTCCGAGTAGGGCGACACGTCTTCCTGCAGACTGTTATCTTCAATGTGTGATTGCACGTTTAAGATCCGGCTTAGCGTGTCTGACTAGTAAAAAGCAGGCTTCTTTCCATGGTCATTTCACACATACACTTCATGTCCAAGCTTACCAAGTACAACTACTGTTGTGGATCTGTTATCACACCTGAAGGTTTGCTTTTATAGTATTCCCAAAAGATTTTCTTATCACTTTTAATATATAATAACATGGTCTTGCATAGCATGATTTTGTGAACCAACATTGAATGAAAGTTCCACATTTTTAACATACAATAAAATGTTCATACATTCTCAGTTGATTGTATTTTATATGCATGTTCCATTGAGTTATTCAGTGTTTGATATGGTTTCAATGTTTAAATCCTTCTTTCAGTGGAAAATTGCATACTTCAATGAATGGTATAAACTTCATTCTAGTAGTACACTCTCTGACATTGAACTTGGACAGATTTCTGACAGATTATACTGCTTAATATAATAAACAGAAGGCTCAGTATTTTAGACATTTTATTCATTGAAAATTACCAATATATATATACAAAGTACTCTAGGATATTATTTTTTATTTATTAAAGATCTTTGTTGTTCTTTATTTCAGGTGATGCTCTTGAAGGCGTGGTGAATGTGCACCTACAGATAGACTGTAATACACATGTGGAATATCCGTATTATGACTCTACCCTGGCACATCCCGATATCTGTGCCTTCTGTGCAGCTGTGGGGGCAACAAGGGACCAAGATGCCATTAAAACACATCGTATTGTTCTACAAGTTTGCAGAGACTGTGTCATTATTGGAAAATTACCACCCAAGAAAAATCCAATTCAATAAATTATTTCAAATTATACATAAGAGTTTTATTTAATATATCTGACATGAGGAAACTGATAGCTTGATACACCCTAGAATTTAAAATACTGCCCTATAATGATGGTTTGTAATTTCCTATTTACAAGTACCAAAAAAAACCAAATTTACCAAAAAAATAAAATAATTTACCTACCTACCTACCCACACCTGACTTGATAGGGTCGGGTTTGGGGAAACAAACAATTATCTATTTTTGGCCCAGCAGGATAAGCCTCTATTGCAAGAAAGATGTACATGTAAGTTGTGACTTTATTTTCTCAGTTAGATGATATATATAACTTTGATGAGGACAGACTTTCACCTGTGAGTAAAGACCTAGCAGTACCAGAAATCTCTTCTCACGCCAGACACCCTGACCTTAAACTCTGCATTATAAAGCTGTATAGAAAGAAGGTTGGTATAAATATCATAATTCTGCAAAGTGTTTTGGGATAAATCCTTATCATTTAATGTGATAAATGCTTTGTTCTTGATGCATAGAAGATTATTGTTTGTTCTGTTTTGATGTGAAGATATGGTTTGTTCTTGGTGCATAGACAATTATTGTATGTTCTGTTTTGATGTGATTATGAGATGGTTCGATGCTGAGTGTTTTTTGCTCTATAAAAGCTTTTAAAGATAATATTTATCAAGAAGAAAAAAATTGTCTTCCTGTAGAAACATGGAAATTATGCATGTATGATGCTCAGAAACTTTACCAATTGATATTTGACAACCCCAACTACAAGCAAAATGGCTGTCATTGATCAGCTGGTCATTAAAAGATATGTTGTCAGTGACTTAAGACATTATATGTTTATGCTTTAGCTTTAAAACTTGGTGTCATTTTCACCAAGACCTTTAAATTCCCTTAGAACATGTTCACCAGTTAGACTATTCCTGCTGGCCAACTGTTGGAAGTAATGTCCAATTACCCTGTCATGTTAACAAGATGGCTGCCATTGCAGAACAGTCATTTCACATAGGACCTAGAAGATATGAAAACCAGTACCTCATCTCTTTTTGAAAGGACTTAATAATAACCAATCTAGTCTGAAATAATTCCAATAGTGTCTAGTTTTAAAATTATGTCTTATGCATAATCTTTATCATTTCAGGTAATCAAACTGAGTCTGTATTGTTCCTAGATTGATTATTTAAGGAATGACTGTAACATATTTTTTCTGTCTATGAATATTAATAAATAACATCAAAAATTAGGTGCACACTGAATAACCCGCTACAGGGGTTATTTAAAAGTGTGCATTACAGTTTTTAGGTTATTTTGAATAGACCAAAAAAATATTACAGTCAATCCTTATAATTTAATTTTAAATTCCATTTTATGGAGTTAATCATAAAAAAACGTTGATGAAGTCACAGTAACCTATGAGCTGATTGACAAAAAACTTGGTCAATCAGAAGACGTATTGCATCCAAAATTAAATTATGTGATGGTCACATGATGGTAGAAAAACAAAATACAGATATATATATATGAGGGTTTGATTGGGGTCCTTCAGTTCTGTATTCTTTAATTTTGTAGGTAATTTTTCTCTATTCTTTTTTTTTTTTGGTCTATTTTTCAGTAGAATTGGCCCATTATTCTTTATTCTGTAAACCCCATCCAGACCTTCATATATGACTTAAAACCTGTACTTTGTTTTCCATGAATCTAGAGAAAAAAGGGAATTAAATTGACATGTGCTAACACACAAATATGTTTTGTTTCAGGGTCTTGATGTCAAAGACAAAAGAAAAAAGAAAGTGTTCCATGTGTATTCATAAGACTAGTCATCATTTTTGATACAAACATTAAATGATAACATATGTACATTGGTGTAGGAGAGCAAATAAGTGCATATACAGGCCTAACATTGTCCAATCAAGGTACCTGGTATGTGTACATATTCTGATACAAAATCTTCTGAATGGAGAACAAGGATTGTCACTGACACAAGGTTGACTATGAATCAGTGATTTATGACTGTTAAGCATTTGAAGCAACTATAAACCAGTAAAGCATAGGATAAAATATTGATATATCATCATGTCATACATGTTCAATTTTCATATGCACGCGTTACATCAATCATACACAGGCAAAACAATACATTTTGTATGAGAGAGATTTGACACTGAAGATTTCATTCCTACCTCTTGATATTAACATTTTGTTGTTTATTTTTTACATCATTGTTTTCATTTCATACACTTTATTTATTTTATTTTAAGTGGATCTCTAGATCTACATCATACCAGGGCTTTCAAAATTATTTTTAGCCAGCCGGACATTTTATATATTATCCCGATTTTAATCCCTTAAGACTAAATAAACAAAAGGCAATTATGGTTATCAGTTGCTGAGTCGCCAATCCAAATGATTGACATTAAGAAAAAAACGATATTAAACTTTCTTTGATTCAAATTCGAAGTTCTGACGTAAACTGTTAAATTGGCAGTGCATCATTCGAAGTGTGCAACATCAGCGTACTTATAATTATATCTGCCTTAGACGCTTTATTAGTGCAAATAACGTTGTCAAAAACTTTACTTTCGTTTTTAAATCTAATACCGGATGTTATTTTGACAATGGTAAAACATGGACCAGAGACAGATACGTAAATTCCGTGTACATTTGCAAAGCATGAATGAGTGTAAGTAGCTCTTTCTACGTTATTTCTTTAAGAAAATATTCGAAATAAACGTGAGATAAAGGTATCAATGACAATTTAAGCATTTTTTGAAGAAATACGGATGCATAATTAAATTTCACACCTGCGCACATGTGTACTGGTTCAAACAACGTGGTTAAGACGATTTTTCATTCACCTTTTTAATTTTTTCATCAAATGATATTTGTAAAAGTATTTCTGATAATTTAAATCTTTCTGACTAAATTAATTAGATGCAAACCGCTGAAATGTAAGAAAATAACTTTGAATAGACCGATCAATGTCCGGTTCAAAATAGTTTACCTGTCACCTGAACAGGTAAATTTCAGCTGTTCGACAACTAATTAGCCTTGATTAAAATGAGAAGGTATTAAAGTAGGGGTTGTTTTGATAGTACTTAATGAACATGTCACTTATATGACCGGAAATGTGTGACTGTGAAAGGCAAAAGGTTGGGTCAAAAAGATCGCGAATTATGTTTAAATGACCGTCTCTTAAGAAAGTATTGAAAACTAAAAAGTAGATGACCGTTTCATGCTTTTCCCAGCCAGACTTTTACCGGACATTATACAAATGTTCGGAATATATGACCGTTTTGGAAGCCTTGCATCATACATATGATCTCATTACAATACTAAAGTTAGAATACTGATTTTGTTCTGCAAACAGATCTAGTTAGTAAATATGTTATAATACGTTTCTATTGATAATATGTCAGCCTCATTGCACCAGTAAAAATTACAATCTATTTGGCAACATTTGATTGATAATGACATGTATTTGACTAGTTGGAGATTCTCCTGATGTATAACTGCCTTTTTCACTTGCCAATGCTGTGGGATATCAGATCACAATCCATATAGAAAACATAGAATTTGACATCTCAGATTTCAAACTGCCATAGATCCACTGTCAAGAAGATAAATCATACACCATATATTGTTCCATTTTCAAATGTCGGAAAAAAAACCATCTCAAAATCACCAAAACTGTAAGATACATGTGGAGAACTCCTGTTTTCCTGTGAGGAACCCATACAGGTTATCAATGATCTTTCAAACTCGAGGGTTTCTCGGCTACATCTCATCTCAGAGCTGTCACCCTTTGATGTGATTGCTGCAGAGAAACACCCTTTTGTTTGAAAAACCATCGATAATCTATAAGTTAATCAGCATTCCTTTAATGCTGCATTGGCAGAATTCTACCGAAAGTTTTTTGTTGATCCAAGTGACTAGGGATTTTCTAAGCTTTTTTCCCTAAATACTATTTTTTGTGATAAAAGATTGCATGAAATGCAACCAAAACCCCTGTGTCACTGCCTTGACATCTCATCTTTCCAGGCCTCGTAGATCTCTACCTTTAAGAGCACATAGAACATAGTGCAGTGAGGTGAACATTCTTTAGATCCTTTCCTTGTCCATTTCTAGGAACTTATTTATTTACTAAGAAATTTAAATAACAAAATTATTTGTATTTGTATAACCATACTTGTCAAGAAAACTATTTTATTAGAAAATAACATAAGTTGAGCATGGTGTATGAATCTTATCTAAATCTGTTCCAAAAAATAAGTTCAACTACAATTGCAATATATGGACAAAGGAAGATCACACCATTTTAAAATGTTGCCTTCCAATGCTAAATACAATACAATATTTATTTAAGTTCACAATTAAAATATGCCTTTAGAACAAAGAATTTGAATGAGGGGAGAGAGGGGGTCTACAATGCTATTCGCATATCCAACAGCCCTAGTCCAGAACAGGTAGTTGAGCATCATAATTAAGTTACATGTTTTACCTCATTGTATTTCGTAATTTAATATTTATTTACATTTATATAGTATTTTATATATTTTAATCGTGTATATTTATTATCTAAATACATCTATAACAAAATGAAAGTACCCGTTTCCAGGAGTAGTGATAATGATCAATAAAATTAAAATTTGATTCATTCACTTATAATGCATTGCACATGTTAAAATCTGAAAATGTAATAACTTGATAATGTTGATATGCATCATAGTTATCAAAGGTACCTGACTAAAAATTTGATATGCCAGACGCGCCTTTCGTCTACATAAGACTCATCAGTGACGCTCACATCAAAATAGTTAGAAAGCCAAACAAGTATTAAGGTGAAGAGCATTGAGGACCTAATTGAATAGAATTGAAAATGGAAATAAGGAATGTGTCAAAGAGAGAAGAACTTGACCAGAAAGAGCATAAAACAGCCCAAGGCCACCAATGGGTCTTCAACGCAGCGAGAAAGTCTGCATCTGGAGGCAGGCTTCAACTGGCCCTTTTTAAAATAATGAAGACGTACGACTTGTTCAGCAAAATGGACGCAACATTAAACTCTGAAACATATAAATGAACCAAAATTTAAAAAACACACAAGACTAACAAAGACTAGAGGTTCCTGACTTGGGACAGGTGCAAAAATGCAGCTGGGTTAAACATGGTTTGTGCGATCTCAACCCTCCTCCTATACCTCTAGCCTATGTGGAATGAATAAACACACAGCAATGCTGAATAGGTCACAGAAGAAACTAAGCAAAATGACAATGATCAAAATAAATTATTAAAGGACTATTGGCAATTACTGACATACCAGCTCAAGACCTCAATTAAACTGAAAGATTATGTCTGCTTCATATGAAAATCAAGCACAATCCCTCATAAAACATGTCCATTTTAATGAATGAAATTGATGGGAAATTTACTACATTGTTTATGATTTATACTTCTACCGTATAGCAACAAATTAAAGATCATGTCGCAGGAGCTTGAGAAGTCTTAATTTTTTTTCAATCCCAGTATGTTATGTCATGCATAAAATCACTGTTCTATTGTTCTATGGTATAAATGGTTATTTCTGGTCTATAAAACTGCAGTACCACTATATTTTATCTTATGTAATGGTTCACCATCATAAAAAGTGTGATACCAACAAGGTGCAAATGTCCATGCAGTTATTGAGTCCAGGTCAAATATATTATTATATCCAGCTGTTCTGTTAGGCTTTATTATCCAGTCATTAAGGTGACAATTCATGCAAGGCTTTAGTTATCAGTCAATAAGATGATCTGTTCTGTAAGGCATTAGTTTCCAGTCAATAAGATGATCTGTCCTGTAAGACTTGAATTTCAAGCCAATTAGATGATCTGCCCTGTAAAACTTGAATATCAAGTCAAGGAAATCTGTCCTGTAAGGCTGGAGTATCCAGCCATTAATTTAAGGTGATAATTCAAGATAGACTTGAGTATCCAGTCAATACAATGATCTGTCCTGTAAGGTTTGAGTAACCAGCCAGTAAGATGATCTGTCCTGTAAGGCTTGAGTATCCAGCTAATAAGATTATCTGTCCTGTAATGCTTAAGTATCCAGCTAACAAGATGATCTGTCCTGTAAGGCTTGAGTATCCATTCAATAAGAATCCTGTAAGGCTTGAGTATCCAGGCAATAAAATGATCTGTCCTGTAAGGTTTGAGTATCCATGCAATAAGATGATCTGCCTCGCAAACCTTCAATATCCAGCCAATAAGTTGATCAGTCATGTAAGGCTTCAGTATCTAGGCAATACGGTTTTGTGTTTTGTAAGGCTGGAGTTTCCAGCCATTAATATAAGGTGATATTTCAGGAACTACTTGAGTATCCAGTCAATTAGATGATCTTTCCTGTAAAGGCTTCAGTGTCTATTCAATAAGATGATCTGTCCTATTAGGCTTGCTTATCCAGTCAAAAAGATGATTTGTCCTGTAGGGCTGAGTATTCATTCCATAAGATAATCTGTCCTGTGAGGCTTGAGTGTCCAGGCAATAAGATGATCTGCCCTGTATGACTTGAAAATCCATTCCAGTAGATAATCTGTCCTGTAAGGTTTGAGTATCCAGGCAATAAGATGATCTGTCATGTAAGGCTTGAATATCCAGGCAATAAGATGATCTGTCCTGTAGGGCTTGAGTATCCATTCCATAAGATAATCTGTCCTGTAAGATTTGAGTAGTATCCAGCCAATAAGATGATCTGTCCTGTTAGGCTTGCGTATCCAGCCAATAAGATGATTGTCCTGTGAGGCTGCAGTATCCAATCAATAAAATAATCTGTCCTGTGAGGCTTGCGTATCCAGCCAATAAGATGATCTGTCCTGTTAGGCTTGTGTATCCAGCCAATAAGATGATTGTCCTGTGAGGCTGCAGTATCCAATCAATAAAATAATCTGTCCTGTGAGGCTTGAGTATCCAGCCAATAAGATGATCTGTCCTGTTTAGGCTGTTAGGTGAACATATCTAGGCTTTAAGGTTTTCTGGAAAGTAAGGCTTGAGTATCGAGCCAATTAGGTCATCTGAACTGTTATTATCCAGGAATAAAATGATCTGTCCTGTTAGGCTTTTGCGTATTTAAAAGTCAATAAGATGATCTGTCCTGTTATGCTCGAGTATCCAGTCAATAAGATAATCTGTCTTATGAGGCTTGGGTATTAGCCAATAAGATAATCTGTCCCATGACGCTTGAGTATCCAGGCAATAAGATGATCTGTCCTGTAAGGTTTGAATATCTAGTCATTAAGATGTTCTGTCCTGTAAGGCTTTAGTATCCAGACAATAAGATCATCTGTCTTCTAAGGCTTGAGTATCCATTCAATAAGATGATCTGTCCTGTAAGGTTTGAGTATCTAGTCATTTAGGTGATCTGTTCCGAAGGCTTGAGTATCCAGACAGAAATATGATCTGTCATGTCAGGCTTGAGTATCCAGCCAATGATATGATCTGTCCTGTAAGGCTTGGGTACTAGTATATAGTCATTAAGATGATCTGTCCTGTAAGGCTTGTGTATCCAGCCAATAAGATGATCTGTCCTGTAAGGCTTGAGTATCCAGGCAATGAGATGATTTGTCCTGTAAGGCTTGAGTATAGAGTCAATAAGGCCATCTGTCCTGTAAGGCTTGAGTATCCAGACAAAAAGATGATCTGTCATGTAAAGCTTGGGTATCCAGTCATTAAGATGATCTGTCCTATTAGGCTTGCTTATCCAGTCAAAAAGATGATTTGTCCTGTAGGGCTGAGTATTCATTCCATAAGATAATCTGTCCTGTGAGGCTTGAGTGTCCAGGCAATAAGATGATCTGCCCTGTATGACTTGAAAATCCATTCCAGTAGATAATCTGTCCTGTAAGGTTTGAGTATCCAGGCAATAAGATGATCTGTCATGTAAGGCTTGAATATCCAGGCAATAAGATGATCTGTCCTGTAGGGCTTGAGTATCCATTCCATAAGATAATCTGTCCTGTAAGATTTGAGTAGTATCCAGCCAATAAGATGATCTCTCCTGTTAGGCTTGCGTATCCAGCCAATAAGATGATTGTCCTGTGAGGCTGCAGTATCCAATCAATAAAATAATCTGTCCTGTGAGGCTTGCGTATCCAGCCAATAAGATGATCTGTCCTGTTAGGCTTGTGTATCCAGCCAATAAGATGATTGTCCTGTGAGGCTGCAGTATCCAATCAATAAAATAATCTGTCCTGTGAGGCTTGAGTATCCAGCCAATAAGATGATCTGTCCTGTTTAGGCTGTTAGGTGAACATATCTAGGCTTTAAGGTTTTCTGGAAAGTAAGGCTTGAGTATCGAGCCAATTAGGTCATCTGAACTGTTATTATCCAGGAATAAAATGATCTGTCCTGTTAGGCTTTTGCGTATTTAAAAGTCAATAAGATGATCTGTCCTGTTATGCTCGAGTATCCAGTCAATAAGATAATCTGTCTTATGAGGCTTGGGTATTAGCCAATAAGATAATCTGTCCCATGACGCTTGAGTATCCAGGCAATAAGATGATCTGTCCTGTAAGGTTTGAATATCTAGTCATTAAGATGTTCTGTCCTGTAAGGCTTTAGTATCCAGACAATAAGATCATCTGTCTTCTAAGGCTTGAGTATCCATTCAATAAGATGATCTGTCCTGTAAGGTTTGAGTATCTAGTCATTTAGGTGATCTGTTCCGAAGGCTTGAGTATCCAGACAGAAATATGATCTGTCATGTCAGGCTTGAGTATCCAGCCAATGATATGATCTGTCCTGTAAGGCTTGGGTACTAGTATATAGTCATTAAGATGATCTGTCCTGTAAGGCTTGTGTATCCAGCCAATAAGATGATCTGTCCTGTAAGGCTTGAGTATCCAGGCAATGAGATGATTTGTCCTGTAAGGCTTGAGTATAGAGTCAATAAGGCCATCTGTCCTGTAAGGCTTGAGTATCCAGACAAAAAGATGATCTGTCATGTAAAGCTTGGGTATCCAGTCATTAAGATGATCTGTCCTATTAGGCTTGCTTATCCAGTCAAAAAGATGATTTGTCCTGTAGGGCTGAGTATTCATTCCATAAGATAATCTGTCCTGTGAGGCTTGAGTGTCCAGGCAATAAGATGATCTGCCCTGTATGACTTGAAAATCCATTCCAGTAGATAATCTGTCCTGTAAGGTTTGAGTATCCAGGCAATAAGATGATCTGTCCTGTAAGGCTTGAATATCCAGGCAATAAGATGATCTGTCCTGTAGGGCTTGAGTATCCATTCCATAAGATAATCTGTCCTGTAAGATTTGAGTAGTATCCAGCCAATAAGATGATCTGTCCTGTTAGGCTTGCGTATCCAGCCAATAAGATGATTGTCCTGTGAGGCTGCAGTATCCAATCAATAAAATAATCTGTCCTGTGAGGCTTGCGTATCCAGCCAATAAGATGATCTGTCCTGTTAGGCTTGTGTATCCAGCCAATAAGATGATTGTCCTGTGAGGCTGCAGTATCCAATCAATAAAATAATCTGTCCTGTGAGGCTTGAGTATCCAGCCAATAAGATGATCTGTCCTGTTTAGGCTGTTAGGTGAACATATCTAGGCTTTAAGGTTTTCTGGAAAGTAAGGCTTGAGTATCGAGCCAATTAGGTCATCTGAACTG